TTGTGGGTTCATTCATAAATTCAATCTGCAATTTTCAAAGCATCATATGAACTGCCGTTCAGAAGTTCACTTTCACTTGAGAGTGCTCAAAGCAGGGGTGGATATAATGATTTGGGGGCTGAAGGCACCTCGCAGTAAAAGTACTGTCAAAGAACGTTCAGGGTTTCCTTCAGTTTTCAGCTCATATGAGAGTGAGGGGCTTCAATAGGACTCCACTGCAGTGCCGAATCAAAGTGAAAAAACTGCCAAAAGTACTTTACCACATGCAATAAAAAGAGATAAAGTAGAGAGTCCTTGACCTAAAATCTATATGTGAAAGCAGTAAAGGTCTGAGAGCTCCAGAGTGACTATAGTATGAACAGGAAGAGGACTGAGGCCCCATCAGACGCAAACTGGACCAGAAAGAGAACTGAGACCTCTTTCAAGTGTACTCAGTGTGAACACAAAAAAAGTCCCTTTTTTGTGGGTTCCCTTTTCGACCCACTTTAGTTTGGTTGATCTAAAAGGCACCAAGTGTGAAAACACCCTTAGAGTCGAACCTAGACCTGGGTCTGTCCAGGCATCCTGTTCATCTCCTCCCATCCCACTCTCTGTTGTCATCCCTTTGATTTCTCCCTTGTGATTGTCCATGTGCCTGTTGTTTCTGGGCTCTCAGTCCAGTCTGCTGAGGGGAATTTCCTTCTTATCACTCACTGAGCCATTCCTTGCATTCTTAGCATGCTTCCTGGCACTACCAGGGGTCCCGCCAGATGCGAGGGCGTCTGTAATAGAAGGCAGACACTGAGGCCAACCGACACCATTCATACATCCAGCAATGACCCTCTGATGAGGTTGGACAGTGTGATTGATGAACAGAAAGAGGATGAGGAGCCAGGAAGAAAAGGGAGGGGAAAACATAAAAAGACAGCGGTGGTGGGGGGTGCATGGGTAATGCGTGTGAACTTTGTGCCAAAAATAGAAAATTCTGGATAGTTTTCATTTCTTATTCCTTGACTCATAGACTGCTATTGATAGAAGACGACATGTAAGGCATTTAAATGTTTTGAAAGCAATTGGAGCTAATTGGAAGCAGCAGGGGGTGAAAGTGTACATCAACACTGAGACCAAGAATAGAGAGATTAGAATAACTCTCATGTCATTCCTCTTAGTCACGACCAAACAGTGATAAAGGTGGTCTAAGTGTACACTAAACACAACTTTTCTAGGTTCCCACAGCAAAGGAAGGTCAGGAACATAAAACTGGAGACAGATTGTGCAGATGTAGCCCTACAGGACGGGCTTCAGACTCAGACTTGTCAGCTTGAGATAATGGTAATGGTGGTTAAGAAGAATGCACACACATTACTTTCATATCTGACTGTCACTATTCCAGAGATGTCCAAGAATTTTGAGGGGCACAAAGATCTATTTACATAAACATTTACGATAAATGTTTTCTTTCTACAGTGCAAAAAATAAAAACAAATTGCAATAGGACAACATCTGCAGAAATTTCAATCTAAAAAGAAAACAGTGTATCTTCTGTGTGCTGTTTGCACCACTTTAAGTCAAAGTCACTTCAAACCAAAGTTGACATTTCAGTGAACTTGAGGTCCACCTCCCCTCCCTGTGCGGTCAGAATCACAGCCTACTGAATGTGCAGTCATATCCAAACATTTTCAAATGCAGTCTGCCTCCAAACTGTTGTGCTCAGCTTCCAATCCCAGTTCGTACGCCGCTTCAAAACATAAACAATGACACCATGCGGATATGAAATTTCCTTTCCTGTGTTTGCTCTTAGTTATGAAGAAATTTACACACTATGCGTGGCTGACGCACGGGAAGTGGTCGGGTGGAAGGACGGTAGAATCAATACAGCTGCCCATGTGCTGTTTTATACGTTATCTGCTATCATTGTAGTGTAAGGTTGATTTATGATTGTCAGCGTTAATTTAATGAATGGACAGTGATGAAGAGGCCTGACGTGCGTCAGCATTCACAGAAACAGCCAAGCCATGTCAGATTAAAGGGGGTAGTGGGTTATAAATTGCTTTAAATGCTTCGGGATAAACTGACTAAAAGACGTAAGCATATGTGTGTTTGTGCGCGTTTGTTTGTGAGTCCATCTGTGACGGAGGTCATGCCACGCCAGTCACCATAGGGCAAGGTCCTCCCGCACTCCTCCCCCTTTCCCCCATCGTCTCTCCAGCGCCCGGTGCCCTAACGCACACTCACACCTCCCTCCTCCTTCCCTCCGAGTGCTCTCAGCTTCCGTAGAATAACATGACAACAGGATCAGTGTGCGGCTGACGCAGACGCATGGCGCGCCGGCAAGTAGCCTAGTGGTCAGCTCCGATGCCCTTCCACACAGAGATGTAGTAACTCACCACCTAAAGTGGTGCAAGACTAACAAAGGGAAAAAGAATTCACAAGCAATGTTTCCGGGTTACTGTTCTGCACGCTGAAGAATGCACCAAAAATAGAAGCTTCATTTACTCACTCCTCTTTATATTTTTTGACATTTTGAAACGTTTCCTGCATGGCCACTGGGGCTGAGATAAGCAGCCAGGTGATAAAAGCGCTTCACTGATTCAATGCATATGGTGTTTTACTGGATATACTTGGACTGTTTAATGATTATATTTAATTGTTCGGCACTCCAGACAGTCCCAGACAAAACAGACCGAGAGGGATGTGAGCGTGGAAGCGACTGAGAAAGTAGAAGCGAGTCGAGGGGAAGCACTTTGAAAGTAGGAAGAATGAAGGATGCAGACAGGACACGCAATGACAGGAGAGGAAAGAATGTTTAGGGCGACTGAGAATGGCGGTGAGAGGAGCGGGAGGGAGAACCGGAGGAGAAAGCGGGAGCTCTGAGACAGGCCTGAGCTCTCCAGTGTATTGACACCAGTCTGAGATGGAGAGAGCAAGCAGGGTAGATGGAAACAGTGTTTGCACAGTAAAAAGTTCCTTTTGCGTGGGCTGCTTGCTTCCCGCTGTACCCCCACCCCCAAATACACACACACACACACACACACACATACACACTCAGTCTGTGACCTATTGCTTCAAGTAGTTCATTCAGATATTTCCTCACTGGCAGACGCAAAACTGCTGGGACAGTAAGTGAGAGGGAAACGTGAGCAGGTGATCAAGAGTCAGAAAGAGAGAGAGCTTCGCCTGACTCACTGTTACACATACATTAACACACACACACGGGCTACACACACAGCCAACAGAGTACACTGGGTTTTGTCAGAAACAAAATTAGTCTTGTAAGTGTGTGTTTAATTGGGAGACCATTTAAACATTTTGCTTCCCCAGTCTTTGTCAGGAGAAAAGTTAATCCTCTCCCTTTCATCCCTGCATCCTGTCCTTTGCGCAGCTCTATTATATGGATCATTGGAGAAACCCTGCAATAATGATGCTGGTTAATATCCTCCTTTAATGGGCTAATAAAAAGACAACTCAGCAGATGCAGAACAGCCATATTTCTCTTAAGTGGGCCAATTGAAGGGTGAGCAATTGGCATGCATCACTGGATGGGTAGCTGGTGCAGGGGAGATGAGTGGGACACATTAACACTGATCTCTGACAGTGGGAGAAAGTCAGAGACGTCACTTTATTGGCCAGTGACTGCAGCCCCCTCACATGTGTCACTATTTCTGCCACTCTCTGACGTAGGTTGAAGTAAGGGGTGAAGCAAGATGGGGTGATGAAGGGGGTGATGGCAGCCACTTAGGGTAAGGTTACCATGACAGTTTCCCAGATAGGATACTCTGCTGGAGTCACGCACTTGGCAATGAACTAAACAGAAAGAGAGTGACAGAGTAGAAAGGAAGAAGGTGGAGGGAGGTCATGGGGAAACTTGTAAGTGTCATAGGACAGTAAATATTAACAGTAATACTTTGGTTTCCCTTCTGAAAGCAATCTCTCCATGTGTTTACTCAGGCCCTGCTGGAATTCCCTGAAGGAAATGAGGATGCAACATTAAATGATAACTTTATTGATACTCTGTTTCCCTTTTGGCCATAGGAGCAGCATTGCGTCAACATTTTCACTGTGTTGACCCTCTGAGGTAAACAGAACACGAGACTTAACCCTAAAATCCACAAGATTACTTTATCATCCACCTGGACATGGAACTTAACCCACAGCAATAAACATTTATTGGAAAACCAACATTATAAGAATGGGCTGGTTTAGTATTTGTTCTCATAATCAGACCAAAACTCCAATCACACGAAAGTAAACAATGAATAAAAACCCCCAACATAAAAAAACATCTATTCTTCCTCAATCTCTTCCTTGTCAGATAAATAAACTATGACACGAAATGGTTACGCCTTCTGAGGTTTCTTTAATCAAAGTTCTAAAGTGACTTCACAGTATGAATTGAGCAACTGTGCCTGGCAAAAGGTGAACAAAGAGTTTGAGGCAATGAAATACACTGAATCCTGCATAATAATGTGTGAATACATGCCATGGCACACAGGAAACCTAGCGTAAAGCGTGACTGAATCGAGTGAAGCATGTGTGAGTAAAGTTTGTCTGGCAGACCCTGTCACAGGTTCCCCCTTCCTCTCTGATGTCTCTGAGGTCATAGTCTGTTTCACTCTGTTTCTCCTCCTATGGTGGTTTCTACAGATTGGTGCTCATGCACGTTATACAGAGACCACACTTATACCACCGCATACCCATAATTACACACATATATTGTACGCACACCCATTTACACAAACCCTGGATTCCCCCTTTTCCAACAGGCATGAGCCAGTGTGCCCTCGCTTCTCACACACACAAAAAAAAGTCCAAACAAAGATACATGACCTCTTGTATTTTGCGTACTGACATCTGTGCACGTGCACACACACAGCCTCACAGACACACACTCAAAGAGCTCCCACCTGGTGTCATAGTGTGTGAGTGATCAACGCTGGCCTAACAGAAGTCTGTGTGCCTCAGAACCACCCAGGAGACCCCATCATGAGAAGCAGCCCAGAGAGGGAATGAGAGTGACTAACCTCACTCTTTCTTTTCTTCTCTCCCCAGCTGTGTCTTCAAACGGCCCTTTGATGTGGGAAATTAAAAAGAGTGAGTGTGTCAATATCTCCCTGCGTCCGACCGCACTCATCTATTCCCTCTCCTCCTTCTTCTGCTCTCCTGCGCTCCCTGCTTTTCTTCTTTACTGTTCACCCAAGAAAACAGAGCATGACCTTTTTTTTTTTACCACAACAACTCCACCCACTCAGTGCCACCAGGCACTGATCATTTGTAGGGTGTTTGTTTGTCTGTGTAGGCCCACCACTGGACTGGCAACTCTGTGTGTGCACATACAAGGCCCACCACTAATTATTTTCTAACCGCACCATGAGTGTATGTCTGCGAATGAGGGTCTCCTAATCTCACACCCAGACTCAGGCAGTTTTCCTTTTCCCTGGTCTCTCTCTTTCTCCCCCCTTTCTCTCTTTGTGTGTGTCTGTGACTCTCTAGTTATATACAGTACTCATTTTTGCCTTTTGCAACAGTAGGCCACGCTTTAATACACCTGACTGAGTGTTTCCAGGCTGTCTTGCACTATGTGTGTGTGTTTGTGTGAAAGACTGGGTGAAACATACAGAGTGTGAGAAATCATGCTGGTGTGTGCACTCTAGACTGTGTATTTCTGTGCTAAAGTATCTTTTTTAGTGTTTTTGGTTTATCAGAGCACCATTTTTTGTGTGTGTGTGTGCATGTTTTGTGCATGTGTGCCTACTGCAGTGACCCCATCAACCACCCCTCAAAGCGTGCGTCTGCGCTAATGTCTTGCAGTGTGTGTATGTGCGTATATGCCCGCTCACAGTTTCTATCCAGCACTTTACTCTTTCCTTCACCCTGGAGAGGAAGAGAAGGAGTGAAAAAAAGAGGAGGTGGGTGGGGGGCCGTGGAAATAACAGGCTGCTGTCTCAGGAGGGGCTCTGAAAAAAGAGCATGGGGTGAGAAAAGGAGGGAGAGAAAAGGTGTTTGCTGTGGGCATTAATTATAATAATAGGGAATGAGGCATGTGTACCCTAAAACAGCCCTGACATAAACTGAGTAACACAAGCACCTTTTCTGTGACAGTTCACTTTTGGCTACCTGACAAAACACCAATAAGCACAAGAAAAAGAAAGGACAGGTACAAGTAGTGCTTTAGATACATGGTTAGATGAGATATGCTAATACACCTGAAAACAATGGGCTTTTTAAAACGTCTGCAAGGCTTGGGGGGGTGGGGGGGGGTTAGAGATGGAAAGATAAAAAAGAGGTAGATGGGACTGATTGGCGCAGGTACCGGGATGCAACATAGTGCTGGAGATGGGAAAAGGGCAGGAGGGGAGAAAGTGATAGAGGACAGAAAAAAAAAACACAACGGAACATTTTTTTTAAAGTTTCGCAAACGGAGACAAGCAGCAGGGAG